CCGCGGCCCTGGGGCCAGCCCTGACCTGCTGCTGTCTCTCCCCAGTGCGTAGAAAGCGACGATGATGAGGAGCTGCTCTTCAACATCCCGTGAGTCCCTGCCCCGAGCTTCTCTGGCGGCGTTTCGGCTGCTGCCAGGGCTGTTCCTCGCCTCAGCGCACCGGGGAGCGAGGCACGGCCATGTGCTGCTGTGACCGGGGCCGCTTTGGAGAGAACAGAGCTGCAAACGCTGCTGCTGTGTCTCTCGGCAGGTTTACGGGCAACGTGAAATTAAAAGGAGTCATTGTGATGGGCGAGGACGACGGTTCGCATCCGGCAGAGATGAGACTGTAAGTGACACGAGAATTAACTTGGCTGGAGCCTAAACTGACCTGATTGACTGGTAACTAAGGAGAGCAGCAGTTCTCACACTGTTGGGTACTGCAGCAAGCAGCGTTTCCCTGCAGCTCCTCAGTCACTCCAGGGCCCCAGGAGGAAAAAGCAACTGTAACTTGAATGGAGACGAGTGCGGATACTTGCTGCCTTTTCTCCAGAGAGATGAGGCGTTGGTTTTAATTAGAGGAGCACGTTTGGTGAGGCACTGGCTGTGCTGTGAGGAAACCAACCTGCTGCTGGCCTAGCGCTGCAGAAGGATCGATGGCCTCAGAGGGGTCACGCTTGGGGGGACTCCAAGACCTGGGAGGGAGGGAGGGAGGGCCACAAGGGACAGCGTCCTGCAGCCACGTCAGGGTTGTCAGGCTCTTGGCCATGGCCCTGCTGTGCTGGGCCACATGGCCTGACTTATCTCCTGAGGGAACAGAGATCCTTCTTAGGTTTGCTGGTTTTTAAAACCTGAAATAGTATTGAGTACTCTGCAGTTCTTGCATGTGAGGAAAGAAATACACCTTTATCGAGCCCCTGTGCTCCTTGGTCTCCAGTGTGCTGGGCTCTGGGTCCCTTCATGTACCCAGGCATGCTGAGATCTGCGTCTCCCCAGCTTTATCTCCTTGTTATTTCTGCAGGGTGTTGAGCGTTCTGGAACATGATGATGCTTGGTGATGGTGGTGCTGGTGTTCTGCTTGGTGGTGGTGTTGGTATTTTTGTCCCTTAGAAGACAAAGCAAACCCAGTTTCTTATTGTTGAGAAGAATCCGGGTAGTGCTAATGGCTGAGGAAGAAACCAATTAGCTGATCTGTGTTAATAACGTCCTGGGTTTCCTGCCTCTCTTCTCAGGTTCAGGAACATTCCTCACATGTCCTTTGATGACACAGCCAGGGAACCGGACCAGACGTTCAGCCTGAACCGGGATCCGACGGGCGAGCTGGAGTACCCCACCAAGTACGGTGTGGACCCACGCGCCGGGGGGTGCAGGGGCTGCTCCTCCCGAGCGCACTCAGCTTGCTGATGTGCTGCTGAACTTTAGGAAGGTGTTAGCAGAGGCTGGTTCCTTCCCTTGCATCTCAAAGCTGCCTACAGTGGAATTTGCCTCCCCGGCTCTGTCTCACCCTTATCAGGGGAGAGCTGTGGTCTGAAAACCTCCCCAAAGCCAGGGGCTGCCCATGCCCCAGGACTTCTCAGGGTGCAGAACCATCCTGGTGTCCCTTGGTCTTGGCCCCAGTGGCAGCTCGTTGCTGGCCCCCTCACCACAAACACGAGGGAAGCTGCTGCTCCTGCACCCTTGATACGTCTGACTTGGGTTAGGGTAGGAGCTACGCATGGTGCGGGGCTGTGGTGCTGTGCTGAGAGGTGGAGGTGCAGCCGTGTGGCTGCCTGTACACAGCTCCAGTTTCAGTGTGTGTTTTCTTTCAGAATTGCCCGTTTCTCCAATGTTTACCACCTCTCCATGCACTTCCCGAAGAACTTTGGAGCAGAGACAACCAAGATATTTTATATAGGCCTGAAAGGAGAGTGGACAGAGGTAGGTGAGAGCAGAGATGAGCAGGACTGTGCTAACAGTGCAAAAAGGGCTTTGAATCGGAGCTTATGTTGAGCTGTAGCAGTGAGGAAGAAATGGGAGTAGTGTGAGAGGTGGGGGTGGAAGGTGTGCCATGAAAAGTCTGTGCGATCAGAGCCTGCTCAGCTCTTGCCAGTCGGGTGTTTTAGGAGGGACTTGAATCCTGCTCTGCTGTGGACTGACACGTTTCATCTCGATTCAGGCTCATCGCCACCAAGTCACCATCTGCAATTACGAGGCATCAGCAAACCCAGCTGATCACAAGTTGGAACAAATCACCCCACAGACTCAGTTCATCTCCTAACGGCGCGGTTGGGGAATCTCCCGAAGGCTCTGGTCCAGCGTGCACGGACGCGATGGGCTGACTTGGACAGAAACGGCTTCCTGAAGCCCTGGAGCGTTGATCAGCTTTACGTTTCGGTCTTTGCCTTGGACAGCAGAGCGCTGGGTGTGTGCAGTGCCTGTGGCGGTGCCGCTGAGGGCAGCGGCATGCGGGGTTGTGCAGAAGCAGCAGATCTCTCGTGTGGGGGACTCGGTGTTTGGGGTCTGGTGTCATTCGCTTCTCTGACTGCCAATAAAACACTCTGAGGTGCAGAGCTGTGGCCTGGTCACCCACATCCCTCTCCTTGAATGTGGGGCGCAGCGTGGGCCTCACTTCCCTCACAGGAAGCCGGCGGCTGTGGGGCTGAGCGAGCAGCGACAGAGGGGAC